GGCTTACCCCTCAGTTTTTGTCTGGTTTCCGGCTGGCCGGGTGAGCAGCCCTGGCTGTTAGGCAGTGGGCTGTAGGCCGGGCTTCGTCTGGTACAGCCTGAGCGTGGAAGCATCCACTCCCCTAGCAGTCTTTCCTCCAAACGGGAAACAAAACTGCAACTAACGGGTCTTGCCGAAAAACAGCCAGCAGGGTGAAGGAGCAGGTGAGCTGACTCTGGATGCTGAGCACCTGTGAAAGCAGTCATGGCTCCTGGCTCTGCTCTCACCTTCACCTCAGCTCCTGTCGTGAAATGAGTGGCCTGTTATAAACGTGTATTCAATGTTTTGTTTGCAGGATGGAAGAGGAATTGGCAGCTCCTTCCACATCCACAGACAAGACAGACAGGTATGCTGGGAGTCCAAGTCGGTTACTAAAGCATGCGAAATACAGAGGTTCTTTTGTGAAACAAAAAGAGGTCACCCTTCAAATCAGCTGCTAGGCTTGAAACTTTACAGTTGCAGGTGTTGTAGCACAGTAGTCTGCACAGATCTAGTGCAACAATGTTCACAGACTGATAAATGCACAGATACCAGGTGCTGTTTAGGAAGTTCTTGATCTGTAAGTACTAGGAAGGTACAAGTATTTGACTGGCGTGTAGAGGTGCTCTGTGGGGAGCTCCTCTTGTCCCAGTCCAAGACACTGGGCTGGGGTGGACCCTCTGGAAATGGAGCTGTGTGAGATTCACTGAATTGAAACCAGAACTTGCATTTGTCATTCTCAGGTGCATCGTGCTGTGCTACGACAAGTCACAACTTGGGTTTTATTCTTTTTCTTGGTTTTGTCAGCATAAGAGTCTGGTGAAACTTTATACAGTACTCAGTGTTGTATTGGCGTGCAACTCTTTAAGCATATTCTTTAGTGTCCTTTGTCACATCAGGTTCTGATGCCCACTTCTTGCAGTGATTGATTAAAATTCAGCTGTTTGTCCTTGGTTGTCAGAACCAAAAGCTGGTTAAGACTTAAACAAAACCAAACAATTCCCCCCCTACCCTGTTAGTTCCAACCAGTGTAATACGTGCAACTCACTCCTATATAAAGCTACCCAAGTTCTGAAAGCTGCGTACAAAGTTTTCTGTTTTAATATGGAAACTGAGTCTTGTATTTATTTTTTTCTTCTCAGTATGGACGTGGATGGAGAATCAAAGAAGCTGTTGGGTTTAGGACAGAAACACTTGGTAATGGGAAATATTCCAGCTGCTGTTAATGCCTTTCAGGAAGCTGCGAGCTTACTGTGAGTAGTAAATGTTTTGTGTGTTTTTGTGGGGCTTGGTTTTCAGCTTGACTGTACTGACTTATGCAAGAAAGATTATTTTTCTTTACCTTATGTATGCTGATGTAGTTACAATACAAGTGAGGAGTGTATGAACTACTTAAAATTAACTCGGGTGTTGGACAATACTGTAACTGGTGTGCAGTTTAGAGAGCTCTTGTGAGTCGTACCTGCCAGTGTGGTTCCCTGCAGAGCTAAAGGGACTTGATATCATAACTTGTAGTATGTGATTCTGTAGTCTGCCAGCCTTGACCAGTCTCTGAGGGCAATACCTCTCTGGGTTTTAGATTAATTTGCTTTGTTGAATGTTTGTGAGAGCCACTCCTAGCTAAGTGAGAGGAGCACTCATTTGCTTGAAACAGTGGAAAATGAGCAAAAAAACCCCTGCTTTTTCTTATCTGGGAATTTTTAGCTTTCAAGTTCACGGAGACACATGCAAATAATTCTTTGTTACTTTTGCAGGGGTAAAAAATACGGTGAGACAGCAGATGAGTGTGCAGAAGCTTTTTTTTACTATGGGAAATCTCTCCTGGAGTTGGCACGGTATGCTCACGGTTTCTCGTTTGATTAAGAGGCTGCCTGGGTAACAGGATTTCACCCCTGGGTTACACTGGAACTGCCTTTATGCGGGGTTGCACTGGGTAGGATGGGCCATGGCGCTGCATCTTGTGCAGTCAAAATGGTGTTACTGCAAGAGCTGAGGGATAACAAACTTGTGTTTCCTTTAGAATGGAAAATGGTGTACTGGGAAATGCCTTGGAAGGGGTGCAGGTTGAAGAGGAAGTAGAAAAAGCTGAAGATGATTCTGCGTTGCCAGCTGTGGATGGTATGTAAAGCTGTCTGCCGTGTTGTGGAGGCACCAGGCTGCCTTTTCTTGTCTAAATGATCCAAGTTCAGTCCATCAGTACCTTAGGTAGCCTGAGTTGTGCTGTTGAAGCTCTTAGCAGCCTGAATGGACTTGCTTTTTTGTTCTTTCAATCTTGCTTAAAGATTGAACAGAAACTCTCAAGCTCCTGCAAGGAGCTGGTCACTGAAAGCACGTGTGAAGGGTCACCAGGTGTCTGTGTCCTGAAACACTGCTTTCAAACTGGCTTTCTTAAGCTTCACAGTCAACTTGAACTGCTTGGTAACCTTGTAGCAGTACAGTGTGTGTAGTAGGACAGGTCAGAGTCTCTATAAAAAGTCCAAGAACAGTAACTATTTTATACAACCTGCAGCTGGAGATAGTGCAGGAATTCCTGTCAATCCAGACTATCAAAACACTGGCACCTCTTGCTTAGCTGTGACTAAAAACGCTACCGCGCAAAACCGCACACTGCTTGAGCGGCCGCTTGCAACAATGCAGTCTGGGGAAGGGGAAGGGATTTGCTTGGTTCAAGTTATTATGTTGGTTGCATCCTAATTCCTTGTACTTTGAAAATGGAGCTTTTAGGAACGCCATCTAATTTGATGACAAACCAACACACTGGAGGGTCTGAGGGTGGTATTGTCAGTGTCCGTTAATGTCTTTATCACTAAACTTGGAGAAATGTTTATGCTTCCTCAATCATGTAGAAGAAGCGAGGGAGGAGTTGAGAGAACAGGTATATAACGCCATGGGGGAAAAAGAAGAGGCCAAAAAGTCTACGGAAGAGTCTACAGAATTGACTGTGAAGGAAATCAAAGAGGAGGGCATTGAAAAGGAAGAGAACATGGAAGAAAAAACAACAGAAGAGTCAATTGCTGACAAGGAAGAAAAGTTTGAAGGGGCTGAAGAGAAGGTGGAAGCCTCTGTGGAAGAAGCAAGTTCAGAAGAGCAGAAGCAGCAGGTGGCTGTGGAAGAGGAGGCAGCTGCGGAGGAGAAGGTGGCAGGAAAAGAGCAGAAGGTGTCTGAAGACAAGGTAGCAGAGACAACTGAGGAGAAGAAGAAAACTAAGGAATTGAAGGCAGCTGTGGAGGAGGCTGAAGCTGGAGAAGCAGCTGCAGAAGAAAAGGGAGATGCAGGAGAGCCGAAGGCAGAAGAAACAGCCAAAGAGGCAGCTGTGGAAAAGGGAGAGGCTGTAGAAGGGCAGGCAGAGGCAGCTGTGGAAGAGAAGGCAGTAGCACAAGAAGAGGCAGCAGAAGTGCAGGTGGCAGTCGCTGTGGAGCAGAAAGAAGCTGCAGAAGGGGAGGCAGAGGCAGCTGTAGAGAAGGTGGAGGAGAAACAAGAGCCGGTGGAGATGGCTGCGGAAGAGAAAGCAGAGGAATCTAAAGAGACAGAGTCCTCAAAGGAACCTCAGCCTGCCGAGGGCAAAGAGCCATCTCATGACATGGAAGAAAAGGCTGAAGTAGCTGCTAAGGTAGAAAAAGAGGAAAAGAAGGATGACCTGATAGAAGAGGGTGAAGGTGCTAAGGTAGAGCAAGAAGAGAAAGATGACCTGATGGAAGAGGGAGAAGGTAACAGTGAGAGGAGAAAAGTACTTGTGGGTGGATGACTTGCTGGATTTGGCTAACCATGGGTAAAAAGTGTTCCATTCAGGATTTTCTGTTTGCCTTAGAATAAGGAAAAGGCATGGTAAAGGGGCTTTTGGAGGATTTTACATCCAAGTAAAGTTTCAAGGAATAGTGAATAGTCTCAGTTTCTCTAGACTAACGCTTAACTAACTGCAAAGCAAATCTTACTTGAAAGCAAACTTACAGCCCTGTGAAATGTGTAAGTAACGCTAGGCTGGTGGAGAATACTGAATGGATGTTCACTTGCATGTGTCTGGGTGTTTTGCACTAACCTTCAGATAACTTGAAGCACAAGTTGCCTCTGGTTATAACTGTATTTCATTTTAAAGCAGCGGAGCAGGAAATTAAGAGCAGCTGAACACACAACATAATAGTACACTTGCTTTTGGTGGGGGGAGGGAAGTCTCCATTTGAGTCTTTCTGGTGGTGGTTACAAGTGAGAATTCGGTTGACAAATCTAAATGCAATCTGCTGCTATCGGCTGCCTAGCTTTTTCTGCCATTTTCCCCTGCTTCGTTATAGCTGTTTTCAGGATTATGTTAAAGTAACCTGTTGATGCTTGTGCACTTCCTTGAAGCAGTACTTGTGTGATCTTGGTAGACCAATGCTTTCTGTCGCACGAGTTGATTGATGAGATCATTGAAACTGTGCTTTGCTGCACAGGAAAAGCCTTATTTTGGCAGTGGCAGATATTGAGCCTAAACAGTCCTGGACACTGAGGATTTGTGCTGCTGAGCACAGTGAGCACTCAGTGAGGGAGCAGCTGCCCAATAACATGTCTGTCTGGGCAGAGTGTAACTGAATGTAAACTAGGAGTGGTTATCCTTTAACATCCTCATCTGGTGCTGTCATTCCAGGCTCCTCCCACTACTTAAAATTTAACTTCCTGCGGTCTCTTCTGTTTTACCTCTAATTGAGCCATCCTCATACTTAGAGGCTTGGCCCTCTCAGTGTTAGGTGTGCACTTTTTGGGAGTCAGTCTAATGAGCTTGTGGATTCTCCAGTCTCCACCCCACCAAGCCCCTCTTATTCTGGAATTAGTGGTTGTGATACAGAAATTAAGTGTGTGACTTGGTGTGCGAGTTAACCAACTAAGTTATTAGCTGTACTCCTTTACCACATACTTTCCCAAAATGCTTTCTACTGGTAGAATCAATCATGCAATGCTACACAGTCTCAGAAATCAAATCAGTGCTACCATAGCACATCAATAGCAAGTTCATTAACATTGCCACTTAAATGCCTGACATGAGGAGTGTGAATTCAGAACCAGTCTTATGTGAACGCAGCTTGGCAGCTGTCTTGCTGAAAATGTTTGTTACCTGTAGTGTGAAGTCCAGCAGCTGACCAGTACCTCCAGGGCTGCGTAGGACCCCATGGTTTCAGTGGGAGTTCACAGTACGTTTGTGAGAACTGAATGCTAGGTAAGTTTCTGTTCTAGATAGTATGAAATTAAACTTAAAAGAAGGACTAAGGTAGCCTGGATCTACCTTAGTCTACAGTGCCTGACACTTTCAGCAAGATGGCTGCTGCTGCTGAGAATTTAACATATCTGTGCTCTTCCTGCGTCACAACTAACCTGTCACTGGAAGGATAAGGGCTGGATGTAGTGTATTCTACCTGACTCCATGTGAAGCAAGTGTGGTAACAGCAAGCATTCTCATTTGTCTACTTTCCTTGTAGAAACAGAAGAATCTGAAGAGGAAGATAAAGAAAATTATAAAGCTGAAGATGATAAGGAGAATGAATTGACAGTGGAAGACAAGGTGAGATTGAGCTCTGATACCAGTGCTCATGGAAGAGTGCAGTATTTTTCTAAATGTCATGTTAATGTCTTTATGAAAGCTTGCTTGTATTTCATTTAGTCCTGTGTAGGAAATCACAGAATATCAGGAATTGGAAGGGACC